TGAGTGAAGCCCCGAAGGACTGCCATGTTGAAAGCCCCGGAGGACTGCATGTCAAAAGCCCCGAAGGACTGCATGTATTATCCAACCCGAAGGACTATATTAAAAACCCGAAGGACTGCAATATCTAAAGCCCCCGAGGGCTGCATGTCATGCAGAAAGCCCCAAAGGACTTGAATGTGAAAAGCTCCAATGACTGCATGCATGTCATGCATAAAGCCCCCATGAGGGGCTAAAGACCCGATTTAAAGACAATCATGTCAAAAGTCCCCAAGTGCATGCCATGTATACAGCCCCGAAGGACTGCCACATGAAAGGCACCAAAACACTGCAAAAAGCCACAAAAGACTGCATCTCATGTATAAAGCCAGGAAAGAAAGATGATTCAAACAATGGTTTATGCTTCCTTAAAAACATAGATTTCGCAAGTGCTAAAATTAAGATAAAATTAACATGAAATTAGCTTTAACCTAAAAATACAAAAATCTTAGCATCTCATGTAATCAATTAGCATACTTATAAGTCTTTAGTCAGCACTTAGTCCATGGTTAGAACACTGTTACAGTACGGTTACCAATCCCTGTAACAATCTTAAGTCATTAGCCAAAGGACAGCCCATCAAAGCAATGTGTGCCCGGACCCCCCCGCGCCCACACCGCCCCCACCGCCCACACCGCCCACACCGCCCCCACCGCCCCCACCGCCCACACCGCCCCCGCCCCCCACCGCCCACACCGCCCACCACCCCCACCACCTTCATCCCCCTCCACCGCTTTCACCGTGCCCCCACCGCCCACACCGCCCCCCCCGCCCGCTGTATTTGTAGGTGTTTAAAGAGTAAAGAGTATATTTAAAGGCTGCCAATGTGTGCCCGGACCCCCGCGCGCCCCCACCGCCCCCACCGCCCACACCGCCCTCACCGCGCCCTCACCACCCCCACCACCTTCATCCCCCTCCCCGCTTTCACTGTCCCATCGCCCCTCACCGCCCGCTGTATTTGTAGGTGTTTAAAGAGTAAAGAGTATTTATAGGCTGCCAATGTGTGCCCGGACCCACCCGCGCCCCCACCGCCCCCACCGCCCACACCGCCCTCACCGCCCTCACCACCCGCACCACCTTCATCCCCCTCCGCCGCTTTCACCGTTCCCACCGTCTGCACCGCTCTCACCTGTATTTATTTGTAGGTGTTTAAAGAGTAAAGAGTATTTAAAGGCTGCCAATGTGTGCCCGGACCCCCCCGCGCCCACACCGCCCACACCGCCCACACCGCCCCCACCGCCCCCACCGCCCACACCGCCCCCCCCGCCCCCACCGCCCACACCACCCACCACCACCACCAGCTTCATCCCCCTCCACCGCTTTCACCGTTTGTATTTGTAGGTGTTTAAAGAGTAAAGAGTATTTAAAGGCTGCCAATGTGTGCCCTGACCCCCCCGCGCCCACACCGCCCACACCGCCCCCACCGCCCACACCGCCCCCACCGCCCACACCGCCCTCACCGCCTTCACCACCCCCACCACCTTCATCCCCCTCCACCGCTTTCACCGTTCCCACACCCTCCACCGCACCCCCGCCCACACCGCCCTCACCGCCCTCACCACCCCCACCACCTTCATCCCCCTCCACCGCTTTCACCGTTCCCACCGTCTCCACCGCTCTCACCGTCAGCTGTATTTGTAGGTGTTTAAAGAGTAAAGAGTATTTAAAGGCTGCCAATGTGTGCCCGCCCGCTGTATTTGTACGTGTTTAAAAAGTAAAGAGTATTTAAAGGCTGCCAATGTGTGCCCGGACCCCCCCGCGCCCGCACCGCCCACACCGCCCACACAGCCCCCACCGCTCACACCGCCCACACCGCCCCCACCGCCCCCACCGCCCACATTTCCCTCACCGCCCTCACCACCCCCACCACCTTCATCCCCCTCCACCGCTTTCACCGTTCCCACCGTCTCCACCGCTCTCACCGTCCGCTGTATTTGTAGGTGTTTAAAGAGTAAAGAGTATTTAAAGGCTGCCAATGTGTGCCCGGGACCCCCCCGCGCCCACACCGCTTCACCGCCCACACCGCCCACACCCCCGCCCCCACCGCCCACACCGCCCACCACCCCCACCACCTTCATCCCCCTCCACCACGTTCACTGTTTCCACCGTCTCCACCGCGCTCACCGCCCGCTGTATTTGTAGGTGTTTAAAGGCGCCCCCACCGCCCACACCGCCCCCACCGCCCACACCGCCCTCACCGCCCTCACCACCCCCACCACCTTCATCCACCGCCACCACCCCCACCATCTCCATTACTGCCATGCCTGCACTGTGCCTCCACCGCTTTCACCGTTCCCACCGTCTCCACCGCTCTCACAGCCCGCTGTATTTGTAGGTGTTTAAAGATTTAAAGGCTGCCAATGTGTGCCCGGACCCCCCCGCGCCCCCACCGCCCACACCGCCCTCACCGCCCTCACCACCCCCACCACCTTCATCCACCGCCACCACCCCCACCATCTCCATTACTGCCACGCCTGCACTGTGCCTCCACCGCTTTCACCGTTCCCACCGTCTCCACCCGCCCGCTGTATTTGTAGGTGTTAAAAAGTAAAAAGTATTTAAAGGCTGCCAATGCCCCCGCGCCCCCACCGCCCACACCGCCCCCACCGCCCACACCACCCTCACCGCCCTCACCACCCCCACCACCTTCATCCACCGCCACCACCCCCACCACTCCATTACTGCCACGCCCTGTTCACCGTTCCCACCGTCTCCACCGCCCGCTGTATTTGTAGGTGTTTAAAGAGTAAAAAGGCTGCCAATGTCCCACCGCCCACACCGCCCACCGCCCACACCGCCCTCACCGCCCTCACCACCCCCACCACCTTCATCCACCGCCACCACCCCCACCATCTCCATTACTGCCACGCCTGCACTGTGCCTCCACCGCTTTACCGTTCCCACCGTCTCTCACCGCCCGCTGTATTTGTAGGTGTTTAAAGAGTAAAGAGTATTTAAAGGCTGCCAATGTGTGCCCGGACCCCCCCGCGCCCCCACCGCCCACACCGCCCACCGCCCACACCGCCCTCACCGCCCTCACCACCCCCACCACCTTCATCCACCGCCACCACCCCCACCATCTCCATTACTGCCACGCCTGCACTGTGCCTCCACCGCTTTCACCGTTCCCACCGTCTCCACCGCTCTCACCGCCCGCTGTATTTGTAGGTGTTTAAAGAGTAAAGAGTATTTAAAGGCTGCCAATGTGTGCCCGCCCACACCGCCCCCACCGCCCACACCGCCCACACCGCCCTCACCGCCCTCACCACCCCCACCACCTTCATCCACCGCCACCACCCCCACCATCTCCATTACTGCCACGCCTGCACTGTGCCTCCACCGCTTTCACCGTTCCCACCGTCTCCACCGCTCTCACCGCCCGCTGTATTTGTCCACACCGCCCCCACCGCCCACACCGCCCTCACCGCCCTCACCACCCCCACCACCTTCATCCACCGCCACCACCCCCACCATCTCCATTACTGCCACGCCTGCACTGTGCCTCCACCGCTTTCACCGTTCCCACCGTCTCCACCGCTCTCACCGCCCGCTGTATTTGTAGGTGTTTAAAAAGTAAAGAGTATTTAAAGGCTGCCAATGTGTGCCCGGACCCCCCCTCGCCCCCACCGCCCACACCGCCCCCACCGCCCCCACCGCCCACACCGCCCTCACCACCTCCACCACCCCCAGCCACCACCCCCACCGTTTTCACTACACCCACCATCTCCCGGCCTTGCGATGCGCCGCCGCGCGCGCGATTTTTTTGTCATATACCACCCCATGGCCACAACTGTACTGGTTCCGTTTATACTACTGTACTGCGACGACCGACCCCCCCTCAATAATCAATCCCCCCCACCCCGGGCGCCAAATCAATCAAGGGGGGGGGGAGAGGGGGGTGGTTTATTAATAGGAGGTTGACATTAATCAAAACGAACACAGCCTTCCTGCGAAACTTGGTTTTGTGCGGATGCCTTTTGCCTCTGAGTCACAAGGTTGCTGAAACATGCGCACACAATGTCCGAGAGCTGAGCACTGCGTCAGTCCGAATACTTCGCCGCATCAGTCATGTGCTCATGCTACTCGTGCCAGTTACAAGACTTGCAGGCCCTATCTTATTATTTCATGTCACTTCCTCCGTATCAGGGTTGGCTGCTTTCAACACCTGCTGCCTTCCTTGGATGGTCACCTCTCTTCTTTTGGGGTCGGCGGCAGTGGCGGCAGCCCATAAATCGGGCAGCGCTTCGCTGCCCTGTATGGACTGAGCTATGGCTCAGACGAATGGGCTTCTCTTGCGAAGCAAAAGCCACGACGGCTTGTGCCGCCGACCCGCCGCCGACCCCGCATCATCGGACCTCCGTTTCTCCATCGGGCCGCGCGGGCCCTGGCCCGGAGGCGTCTCGGAACGCGCACGCGCTTCGCAGCCATTCCCCACGGCATGGCGGGTTTCGGGGCCGCCGTGGACGACCCCAGGAGGCGAGCCGGCGAGCATCATGAGCACTCGGGCGCCCGCAACCGGCCCCGCGGCGCGAAGTGGGCGCGAAGTGATGATTTCCAAGTTTTTGCGTGGGTTGCGGAAGCCCCAAAAGGGCGCGCATCATCAGCATCAGCGGGGTCCGGCGGAGGGCGGATGCGGGCTACATTGGAGGGCCGACGAGGGCTAAGAGCGTAAGATCACCCATTAGTTGTGCACTTCGGGCCTACGTCACACTTTTCTTCCGGTGTCGAGCTGTCGTTGTCTCGGCACCGTCTGGAAATTTTGACCGTGTCTTTCCCGTTCCCCCGCTACATCCGCTGACAACAACTCGCGCTGCCCGCACCTGGGCGCAGCCCCTAGAATAGTCATCTAAGGGCCGAAAAGCACTGCACGGGGGACAACGTACACGTATTCAGCACATGGTCGCGAGCTTGGAACTCTGAGAGGTTCTCGCCAGCTCGGGCTTAATATCCGATTGAAGCTGTACCTAGCACTCGCATTGCAGTTTTGGTGCCAACTGCAACCTGGACACGCCGAGGGAGACGGCGAGGATGAAGCGGGTGCGCCGACCCATCTGTCCGCTGCCGCCTGCTGCGGACGCGCTTCGGGCGTTAGTCTAGAGTCTATAGGGCAACCCCTCGCAGAGAAGGACGGCTGCAGCAGCGGGTCTGGCGGCGGCCAAGTCACCCACGATGTTGATGCCCGAGACGAGCACGTTGGCAAACAGGAAGGTGGTCATGCCGCCCAGCACAGCATCCGGAATGGAGGCGATGGCGGCACCAAACTTCCTGGCTGGTTCTAGATTCCAGTCTAGTGAAGGCAGATGATGATGAGGGAGGACAGCACCAGCATAAGACGTGTTTGCATGCTCGCGAAGCACGGCATGAGCATGGAAGATCCTAGCTGTGCGGAACTGCAACGCTGCAGCGCCGAGTCGCTCGAAGCAGCCCAGCAGGATGAGCCAGAAGCAGCAGGCGATGCCGGCGGCCCGGGAAGCGCAGCGCGTGATGGCGATCACGCCGTTGTTCTGGGAGAAGGTCGTGTTGGGCGGGCCTCCAGCAAGGGCAGAAAGTAAACATTCCCATGAGTGCGCCCCCCTCCCTCCTGTACCATCCATTGTCCATTTCCCCTGCAACTTTGGCGTCCGAGAGGCAAGTCATCAGGCAGGCCAGGAAGCTGTTCACGCCGTCGGCAAGCAGGCCGCCCTGGATGCGGGAGTCGGCATCTGGGCCCTCGATGGGCAGGCCGCTGACATCGCACGAGGCCTCACGACGAGGCAAAACAGCATACCCGCCGGGCACGGTGGCGCAAGGCGTGGTGCAGATGGTGCAAGCACCGCAGGCGCCTGGCCTGAATGTCACCGACCGTCTCCACCGCCGTGATCACGAAGCCCAGCAGCAGAGGGATGAAAGCTGGAGGGTAGAAGCCGATGTTGAAGGTGGTCGTCCTGCACGCGACGGCAGGGGGCTTATCATGGAACCTTGTTAACTTTATCCCCGTTCTCTCGTCTGATGCCCGGCTGTGTAGACTACCGTCGACCTTACGTAGGGGTACGAAGCGCGGCTGCTGTGTCAAGGAACAGTCGCGGAATGCGAAAGGGCTGTCCAGAGGAAGGTGAAGACGCCGGCTTGCTCGATCTTGTCGCCGTTGACATACGGCAGAGAGGTGCCATCCTCTGCTGTGTAGGAGGAGACTCCCGCCACGAAGAAGCCGAAGAAGAGCGCCAGGGCGACGGAGCAGTTCTTCATGAAGGGAGAACCCACCGCCTGGATGAAGACCTGGCCCATGCTGATGCAAGACTTCCCAACAACTCTGTCACGTCTGATAGGTACAGCGACCATGCATACATTCTGCTACACCCATATACGTGAGTCTTGCATCCACGTCGCCAAGAAGATCATCACGCTCAGACCCAGGCCGAAGTAGTGCACGTCTCCATAGGGCAACGCCACGTCGCCGTTGCCGGTGCACACCTGTAATTACTCGATCAAGCGAACTGCATGCTGCACATAGGATGATTCTGCAAACAGACAGCGCAAACCGATTCCCAGATATCCATGAAACCCTCGGCTCAGATGTTTTTGGGGGCCTGGGGTGCGCCGAAGGCCGCGGCCCGGGACATGTCGTTCTCCGCGCAGAAGACCCCGCCGCCCCAGTACCTGCGGCACACAGCACGCGACGGCAGCAGCGCAGCTGCAGCCAATTTCTGAAAATTGCAGGGTCGGAAAATGCAGGCGAGGGGCTTAAGGCCAGCGACCGAGAGGCCGGCGCCGATGAGGCAGACGCAGGTGCCGCTGACCACAGGTGGGAAGATCTTCTTGAGGTAGCGGGGCGGCACGAAAGAGATGAAGAGCTCTGTCACTGAGGCCGCCAAGCAGGTTCCCAGGAATTTGCCGTAGGCATCCATGCCGCTGCGCCCAGCCTGGATTTCGGAAACCACGACCTCTCGTGCGATGGGCAGGAAGGTGAAGGACGTGCCGATCACGGAGATCAGGCCGGTTCCCAAAGTGTAGCCTCCGATCAGCTTCCAGCGAAGGATCTGCACCAGGGACAGCAGCCCCGAGCAGATCAACGCTGCGGAGATCATGTACCTAAGAGCGCCCGACACCACTTCGCACTCTAGTTGTTACTCCAGGCAGTTTCAACCCTTTTGCTTTGCAAGCTGCTGCTTGGAGTCGCAGAGCTCCTAGCAGGTGGGGGCGATGTTGCAGGTGCGATGTTGCTGCGAGAGTCTCGAAAGACTGTGGGCGGAAACTTTTCGGCCCTTCGCCAGTGAGTCTGCATGCAAGCTCCTGATCCAACTGCCATGCAAAGCAGGCATCGCCGGAGATCAACGACGGTGGGGTGATGATACCTTCCAGCGAGCATCTACTTAAGCAATGAGGAGATGATGAGAAAATGCGGCAAGCAGTGGTCTCGGAGTACAAACGCAAGTAAATCTGCAGTGTGTTGTATGTTGCTGCAGCTTGCATTACTCGAGTCACTGTCGGGGGCCTCCCAACATGGCCAGGGCGTGCTGCAGTCCCATGATCAACGACCTCGGAGGAGTTTCGCATGCCGGCATGCTCACATCATCACGTCATCACCTTCATCCTTCGTTTCCTCTGCACGACGAACATGACACATGAACATGACGAAGCGACGAGATTCATCGTGCTCAGGGAGCATCACAACGATGGGCATCAAATGTTCTCAGTCTGCACGTGCGTCTTCTCTATGTGGATGTGTACTGTATAATACATACATACATGATACACGCATACATACACCTGCATAAACATAGGTAATTAGACAAATATGCATGGTTGTGTATATGTATATGCATGCATGCATGTGTGTACGTATGCATGCATGGATGTATGTATGTAGACAGCCAGACCAAAAATGTAGAGAGAGATCCACCGACCGACATACAGACCAACGGACAGACAATAGGACGGATGATGACAATGAGCATACCAATTAACGATTACGATGATGAAGATAACAGTAATTCTGCAAACATGAAAATGTATGGCTTTCACGCTCGTCATAACCTCGGTTTGACCATGCTACAACCATCATCGACTTACAAAAGCCACTGCTATTGCAGTCATCATGTTTTACTAATGCTGTTGTAGCAGGTACTGAATGAGAACCACACATTATTCACATTCTCTATCTTGCACCTACTCCTGAAGATGAACTAGCGGCAGCATCAGCTTAGAAGCAGTCTTGACACCTGACACTGACTAGGAGTGATCCTTGCAAAACTTGACTAAGCTGACACGATGCTTGCACAACTGCGGCGACGAAAAGGAGATACCACCGTCACAGCAGTTGGTATGGTCACAACCAGATTCTTAGTCACTGCTGTCATCACCTTGACCATCCCGATCACCGGGATCGCGATTCTCACCGTCCCCGCCACTGCCGCCACCACAATCAGCACCTACCACATCCTGCTACCATCCAAAGACGATCTAAGTCCCCCAAGCCTTGGCTCAGCAAGGTTACCGTTCATCTAAAGACCCTAAGGTCTCAAAGTTCGGCTTCAGAAGTCTACGTCGAAGGTGCCTGGCCAAGCGTGGCAAGCTCACCTCGAGTCTTGCATGCTAGCGGCAGCATCAGTGGCAGCTTCGAATCCGGCTTCAGTAGCGGCGGGGACTTCGCTGGCCCGAAGCAAGGCAGCGACGGGATGCAGAGGTACTTCCAGTCCTTCGCCAGGTATCCACAGATGTTGTTTTTAAGCAGACTCTGTTGTAAACCACTCAAAATTGGTCGGGGGACATAGGTGTTCAAGCCGATGAGGCCGTCGGGAGTGCAGCTGACGCCGGAGCACGAGTCGCAGCCACCGAACCTGAAGGCCCCGGAGCACTTGCATCACCAAACCGGACCGCAAACATGCGCGTGTGCTTCGTGCTGTCCTGCCGGCGAGACACGACTCCTTCGGGCCTTCCTCAACCTCCTTCACATCCTTTTCGGCGGACATCATGGCTTCGGCGTCGACAGAGGGAAAGCAACTACACCGGCGAAGCTGGCAAATGCTGTTGGCGTGCACGCATGCTACTCCACAGGCGATGAGCGTGCCCAGTCACTCCATCCCAGCTCACTACTTCTGTCGCCCGTGCAGACACCGGACTCACTGGTTGTTGCTGAAATCTACCTTGGGTAGAAGGGAAGATAGCAACTGGGCTGATGTCTACCTTTCAGGTAGCTCAGCGGGAAAAACGTACCACAAGTGCAAGCTCAGATTGGTACCTCAAGCGGCCTAAAGGACCATTCTTCACCCAGCATCGAGTGCTGGGAGAGGGCATCGGCTCCACCGAGGATCCGCTGAGCTTGCGATCAATAAACGCAGAGCCGACGGTACTAAGTAGTATTTGTCTGGCTCCACCTGACAAATCCGAAGTTCCTAAGCAAAACGGAGTTTAACGACAAAAATGGCTAGATCACATGTTTGCCTCGCCACTCTCCTTCAAGTTCTCGCCCACCTCCTCTTCTTCCATCTCGAAGGGAAGCAGCAAATGCAGGAACAGAGCCAGCAGCGTGCCGATGCAGTAGGGCGTCTTCAGGATGATGATGAGGGAGTCGCGCCACATCTTCTTGCTGTCATCGTACTGCACACAGCAGTTCCCGTTGTTTCCGATGCAGGTAGTCACGGTGCGAGTGGCCATGACAGGGGCCGTGTAAGTGCCACCCATGCCAGTGCAGTCGATCTGACCTCAGTGTCAATTCGATTCTCTCTCCCTGTCAACTCTGAATCAGAACAGCGAAAAATGCAGCAAATGTCCGATCGTCCTATCGACTCCGTTACTCGTGTAGTCAACGTCGACGTCGGGCTGCTGATGGAGCTGGCGGTGTAGGCCCCAACAGTGCACTGGGACGCCTGGGATTCGTACTCCTCGGTCGGGAAGACCTTGCACACGTCCTCACAGGTCAGCTGCTACACTACCGGACAGATAGAAGAAAGACGTCAGGGCCGTCCTTGGCCGGCCAGAGGCCGATGTTGTGCTTGAGGTTACCGCCGTGGAAGCCAGCAAGACCACCGCCTTCGGCCTGAGGCGTCCGGTCTACACAAGCTCTGCCGCGCATGCCCTCCTGCTTCATAGCACCCTGCAGAGTGATCTTATAGTTCGGAAGCCAAGCCGCCCAGTTGGGCAGGGCCGCGACTCCAACGCCGACCTGCAGTGCGTTCAAAGGTGGACCTTTGAACGATCTCTGCAATTCTGCACTTCCTCCTCTGCGAAAGCTCGGACCGGTCTTGGCAGGGTCTGTAGGCCTGCACCTCTTGCGACAGGGACGGAAAGCCAACTGCAACCTGGACACGCCGAGGGAGACGGCGAGGATGAAGCGGGTGCGCCGACCCATCTGTCCGCTGCCTCCTGCTTCGGCCGTTAGTCTAGAGTCTATAGGGCAACCCCTCGCAGAGAATGACGGCTGCAGCGGGTCTAGCGGCGGCCAAGTCACCCACGATGTTGATGCCCGAGACGAGCACGTTGGCAAACAGGAAGGTGGTCATGCCGCCCAGCACAGCATCCGGAATGGAAGCGATGGCGGCACCAAACTTCCTGGCTGGTTCTAGATTGTAGTCTAGTCTATAGTGAATGCAGATGATGATGATGATGGTGATGAGGATGATGAGGAAACACTGCACCAGCATAAGACGTGTTTGCATGCTCACGAAGCACGGCATGAGCATGGAAGATCCTAGATGTGCGGAACTGCAACGCTGCAGCGCCGAGTCGCTCGAAGCAGCCCAGCAGGATGAGCCAAAAGCAGCAGGCGATGCCGGCGGCCCGGGAAGCGCAGCGCGTGATGGCGATCACGCCGTTGTTCTGGGAGAAGGTCGTGTTGGGTGGGCCTCCAGCAAGGGCAGAAAGTAAACATTCCCATGAGTGCCCCCCCCTCCCTCCTGTACCATCCATTGTCCATTTCCCCTGCATCTTTGGCGTCCGAGAGGCAGGTCATCAGGCAGGCTAGGAAGCTGTTCACGCCGTCGGCAAGCAGGCCGCCCTGGATGCGGGAGTCGGCATCTGGGCCCTCGATGGGCAGGCCGCTGACATCGCACGAGGCCTCACGACGAGGTAAAACAGCATACCCGCTAGGCACGGTGGCGCAAGGCGTGGTGCAGATCAGGCGCCTGAATGTCTCCGACCGTCTCCACCGCCGTGATCACGAAGCCCAGCAGCAGAGGGATGAAAGCTGGAGGGTAGAAGCCGATGTTGAAGGTGGTCGTCCTGCACGCGACGGCAGGGGGCTTATCATGGAACCTTGTTAACTTTATCCTCATTCTCTCGTCTGATGCCCGGCTGTACACATGAGGCAGTTCCCCGACATGTCTACAGTCGACCTTACGACTACATAGGTGTATGCAGTGCGGCTGCTGTGTCAAGGAGCAGCCGCGGAATGCGAAAGGGCAGTCCAGAGGAAGGTGAAGACGCCGGCTTGCTCGATCTTGTCGCCGTTCACATACGGCAGAGAGGTGCCATCCTCCGCGGTGTAGGAGGAGACTCCCGCCACGAAGAAGCCGAAGAAGAGCGCCAGGGCGACCGAGCAGTTCTTCATGAAGGGAGAACCCACCGCCTGGATGAAGACCTTGCCGACGATCATGGTAAGCTTCGCAGAATCTCTTGCAAGTCTGACAAGAATATGGTTGCAGGGTCTAGATAACGCACAATTCTGCGACATGCCTGTGTCTCTCTTGCAGATAAGTCGCCAAGAAGATCATCACGCTCAGACCCAGGCCGAAGTAGTGCACGTCCCCGTAGGGCAACGCCACGTCGCCGTTGCCAGTGCAAACCTATCTATCTATATATCATATCCATTTACTGATCTAACACTGAAAATCTGTACATGTATGTATATATCTGTATACATACATACATATATATATATATATATATTTACACGATTAATCAAGCGACGAAGAGGCCTGCAAACGATGTGTCTGCAATAAATTATGAGTCTGCAGGCGTACGGCTCAAATCGGTCCCTCAATCTACAGATTTCGATTCGACGATAATATGCAGAGTCTCCCTTCGGGGCCTGGGGTGCGCCGAAGGCCGCGGCCCGGGACATGTCGTTCTCCGCGCAGAAGACCCCGCCGCCCCAGTACCTGCGGCACACAGCACGCGACGGCAGCAGCGCAGCTGCAGCCAATTTCTGAAAATTGCAGGGTCGGAAAATGCAGGCGAGGGGCTTAAGGCCAGCGACCGAGAGGCCGGCGCCGATGAGGCAGACGCAGGTGCCACTGACCACAGGTGGGAAGATCTTCTTGAGGTAGCGGGGCGGCACGAAAGAGATGAAGAGCTCTGTCACGGAGGCCGCCAAGCAGGTTCCCAGGAATTTGCCGTAGGCATCCATGCCGCTGCGCCCAGCCTGGATTTCGGAAACCACGACCTCTCGTGCGATGGGCAGGAAGGTGAAGGACGTGCCGATCACGGAGATCAGGCCGGTTCCCAAAGTGTAGCCTCCGATCAGCTTCCAGCGCAGGATCTGCACCAAGGACAGCAGCCCCGAGCAGATCAACGCTGCGGAGATCATGTACCTAAGAGCACCCGACACCACTTCGCACTCTAACTGTTACTCCAGTCAGTTTCAACCCTTTTGCTTTCCAAGCTGCTGCTTGGAGTCGCAGAGCTCCTAGCGACAAGGTGGGGTCGACGTGTTGCTGCTGCTGGAGTTTCGAAAGCATGCAGTGGAAGCTTTGGGGCGTTTCGCCAGGGAGTCTGCATGCAAGCTCCTGATCCAGCTGCCATGCAAAGCAGGCATCGCCGGAGATCAACGACGGTGGGGTGATGATACCTGCAACAGAACGGATCTCCAAGAGATTCTGCGGTACGCTGTGCATGTGCTTCCTTCCACCTATACATGCCCACAGTAGCAACAGCAAGTGCCGCAAACATCTCTTTCGTTGAAGGAACTCACTGCATGGACAGTGAATGCATTATCATTAAATTCACGTTGAATTCGCCCCATGGCCTCCCAGCATAGCCAGGGCGTGCTGCAATCCCATGATCAGCGACCTCGGAGCTCCGCACAACTGCGCATCCACATCCGCTTCACGGCAGCAGCATCCTCTGCGGTTGCCTTGAGCATCAGCACCGGTTTCACTATAGTATCAGGGTGTCCACTCCACCCTGAACTGTGAAAAGTGATCCTGCGAATAGGCAAACAAACACTAGTAAGTGTGAGAAGGTTCGTGGACCAACATCACATCGCGTCCAAGCGGCAGCATCAGTGGCAGCTTCGAATCTGGCTTCAGAAGCGGCGGGGACTTCGCTGGCCCGAAGCAAGGCAGCGACGGGATGCAGAGGTACTTCCAGTCCTTCGCCAGCTATACAATGATCACCCCTTATCCATAGATGTCTTGCAAGGCAACTGTCAAGAACACACTCAAAGCTTAGTCGGGGAACATAGGTGTTCAAGCCGATGAGGCCGTCGGGGGTGCAGCTGACGCCGGAGCACGAGTCGCAGCCACCGAACCTGAAGGCCCCGAAACAGCCGCATGACCGAACCAAAAGCATGCGCGTGTGCTTCGTGCTGTCCTGCCGGCGAGACACGACTCCTTCGGTCCTTCCTCAACCTCCTTCACGTCCTTTTCGGCGGACATGGCTTCGCGGTGTGGCGAGACAAACTAAACCAACCAAGCTGGACAATGCCTGCGGCATGCTCAGTTCCAGCTCACCAAGGATGAGCTGATGAGCTGACCACCGCACTGCCGCCCAGCGCATCCCAAGCTCTCTTCAAGCGCATACACTGGACTACACTGAGGGTCTGCTGGCATCATCTATCTACCTTTGGTAGAGGGAAAACAGCAAGGGGGCTGATGCCTTACCTTTGAGGCAGGTCAGCTGTGGACAGGGCGAGCAGGCATCGCCCGCAGCTCAGGCAATCCTCCGTGGACAAACCCTCATCTGGACACCGTTCCATTCCACATCGAATGCTGAAGGAAAGCAGCCGGAGAATCGGCTTGAGCTGCTGAGTAAACGTAAACGCAGAGCTGACAACATCTGACAGCCCTATTCGTCGGGCTCCACCGGACAAATCAGAGTTACCAGGCTGGACATCTCTCAATCAGAGAAGCAGCGCCCAGTTTAACGACAAAAATGGCTAGATCACATGTTTGCCTCGCCACTCTCCTTCAAGTTCTCGCCCACCTCCTCTTCTTCCATCTCGAAGGGAAGCAGCAAATGCAGGAACAGAGCCAGCAGCGTGCCGATGCAGTAGGGCGTCTTCAGGATGATGATGAGGGAGTCGCGCCACATCTTCTTGCTGTCATCGTACTGCACACAGCAGTTCCCGTTGTTTCCGATGCAGGTAGTCACGGTGCGAGTGGCCATGACAGGGGCCGTGTAAGTGCCACCCATGCCAGTGCAGTCGATCTCACCTTTGCTGCTGTCGCAGACCAGCAGAGCACGCGTCTCTTCTAGCCCATTAGCTACTGAAACATCCGTCCCCCAGACTCTTCTCTCCCTGTCCTCCCTTCCCCCTGATTGTATTGAAACAAATCAACATTGAAGACTCGTCACTCATGGAGCTGGCGGTGTAGGCGCCCTTGGTGCACTGGGACGCCTGCGATTCGTACTCCTCCGTCGGGAAGACCTTGCACACGTCCTCAAGAGGTCAGCTGCTACGTGTACAAGTACCTTGGACTCCTTGGACCCCTTCTGCAATAATAAACTTTAGAGTCGGATAAGAGAAAGACGTCAGGGCCGTCCTTGGCCGGCCAGAGGCCGATGTTGTGCTTGAGGTTACCGCCGTGGAAGCCAGCAAGACCACCGCCTTCGGCCTGAGGCGTCCGGTCTACACAAGCTCTGCCGTGCATGCCCTCCTACTTCATAGCACCCTGCAGAGTGATCTTATAGTTCTGAAGCCAAGCCGCCCAGTTGGGCAGGGCCGAGACTCCAACGCCGACCTGCAGTGCGTTTAAAGGTGGACCTTTGAACGATCTCTGCAATTCTGCACTTCCTCCTCTGCGAAAGCTCGGACCGGTCTTGGCAGGGTCTGTAGGCCTGCACCTCTTGCGACAGGGACGGAAAGCCAACTGCAACCTGGACACGCCGAGGGAGACGGCGAGGATGAAGCGGGTGCGCCGACCCATCTGTCCGCTGCCGCCTGCTTCGGACGCGCTTCGTGCGTTAGTCTAGAGTCTATAGGGCAACCCCTCGAAGAGAAGGACGGCTGCAGCGGGTCTGGCGGCGGCCAAGTCACCCACGATGTTGATGCCCGAGACGAGCACGTTGGCAAACAGGAAGGTGGTCATGCCGCCCAGCACAGCATCCGGAATGGAGGCGATGGCGGCACCAAACTTCCTGGCTGGTTCTAGATTGTAGTCTATAGTGAATGCAGATGAGGATGATGAGGAAACACAGCACCAGCATAAGACGTGTTTGCATGCTCGCGAAGCACGGCATGAGCATGGAAGATCCTAGCTGTGCGGAACTGCAACGCTGCAGCGCCGAGTCGCTCGAAGCAGCCCAGCAGGATGAGCCAAAAGCAGCAGGCGATGCCGGCGGCCCGGGAAGCGCAGCGCGTGATGGCGATCACGCCGTTGTTCTGGGAGAAGGTCGTGTTGGGTGGGCCTCCAGCAAGGGCAGAAAGTAAACATTCCCATGAGTGCGCCCCCCTCCCTCCTGTACCATCCATTGTCCACTTCCCCTGCAACTTTGGCGTCCGAGAGGCAGGTCATCAGGCAGGCCAGGAAGCTGTTCACGCCGTCGGCAAGCAGGCCGCCCTGGATGCGGGAGTCGGCATCTGGGCCCTCGATGGGCAGGCCGCTGACATCGCACGAGGCCTCACGACGAGGCAAAACAGCATCCCCGCTTGGCACGGTGGCGCAAGGCGTGGTGCAGATGGTGCAAGCACCGCAGGCGCCTGGCCTGAATGTCACCGACCGTCTCCACCGCCGTGATCACGAAGCCCAGCAGCAGAGGGATGAAAGCTGGAGGGTAGAAGCCGATGTTGAAGGTGGTCGTCCTGCACGCGACGGCAAGGGGCTTATCATGGAACCTTGTTAACTTTATCCCCATTCTCTCGTCTGATGCCCGGCTGTGTAGACTACCGTCGACCTTGCATAGGGGTACAAAGCGCGGCTGCTGTGTCAAGGAACAGGCGCGGAATGCGAAAGGGGCAGTCCAGAGGAAGGTGAAGACGCCGGCTTGCTCGATCTTGTCGCCGTTGACATACGGCAGAGAGGTGCCATCCTCCGCGGTGTAGGAGGAGACACCCGCCACGAAGAAGCCGAAGAAGAGCGCCAGGGCGACGGAGCAGTTCTTCATGAAGGGAGAACCCACTGCCTGGATGAAGACCTTGCCGACGATCATGGTAAGCTTCGCAGAATCTCTTGCAAGTCTGACAAGAATATGGTTGCAGGGTCTAGATAACGCACAGTTCTGCGACATGCCTGTGTCTCTCTTGCAGATAAGTCGCCAAGAAGATCATCACGCTCAGACCCAGGCCGAAGTAGTGCACGTCCCCGTAGGGCAACGCCACGTCGCCGTTGCCAGTGCAAACCTGTCTATCTATATATCATATCCATTTACTGATCTAGCACTGAAAATCTGTACATGTATGTGTGTATATATATATATATATATATATATACATACATACATACATATATATATATATATATATATATATACATATTTATACATATATATATATATATATATACACGATTAATCAAGCGACGAAGAGGCCTGCAAACGATGTGTCTGCAATAAATTATGAGTCTGCAGGCATACGGCTCAAATCGGTCCCTCAATCTACAGATTTCGATTCGACGATAATATACAGAGTCTCCCTTCGGGGCCTGGGGTGCGCCGAAGGCCGCGGCCCGGGACATGTCGTTCTCCGCGCAGAAGACCCCGCCGCCCCAGTACCTGCGGCACACAGCACGCGACGGCAGCAGCGCAGCTGCAGCCAATTTCTGAAAATTGCAGGGTCGGAAAATGCAGGCGAGGGGCTTAAGGCCAGCGACCGAGAGGCCGGCGCCGATGAGGCAGACGCAGGTGCCGCTGACCACAGGTGGGAAGATCTTCTTGAGGTAGCGGGGCGGCACGAAAGAGATGAAGAGCTCTGTCACGGAGGCCGCCAAGCAGGTTCCCAGGAATTTGCCGTAGGCATCCATGCCGCTGCGCCCAGCCTGGATTTCGGAAACCACGACCTCTCGTGCGATGGGCAGGAAGGTGAAGGACGTGCCGATCACGGAGATCAGGCCGGTTCCCAAAGTGTAGCCTCCGATCAGCTTCCAGCGCAGGATCTGCACCAAGGACAGCAGCCCCGAGCAGATCAACGCTGCGGAGATCATGTACCTAAGAGCACCCGACACCACTTCGCACTCTAACTGTTACTCCAGTCAGTTTCAACCCTTTTGCTTTCCAAGCTGCTGCTTGGAGTCGCAGAGCTCCTAGCGACAAGGTGGGGTCGACGTGTTGCTGCTGCTGGAGTTTCGAAAGCATGCAGTGGAAGCTTTGGGGCGTTTCGCCAGGGAGTCTGCATGCAAGCTCCTGATCCAGCTGCCATGCAAAGCAGGCATCGCCGGAGATCAACGACGGTGGGGTGATGATACCTGCAACAGAACGGATCTCCAAGAGATTCTGCGGTACGCTGTGCATGTGCTTCCTTCCACCTATACATGCCCACAGTAGCAACAGCAAGTGCCGCAAACATCTCTTTCGTTGAAGGAACTCACTGCATGGACAGTGAATGCATTATCATTAAATTCACGTTGAATTCGCCCCATGGCCTCCCAGCATAGCCAGGGCGTGCTGCAATCCCATGATCAGCGACCTCGGAGCTCCGCACAACTGCGCATCCACATCCGCTTCACGGCAGCAGCATCCTCTGCGGTTGCCTTGAGCATCAGCACCGGTTTCACTATAGTATCAGGGTGTCCACTCCACCCTGAACTGTGAAAAGTGATCCTGCGAATAGGCAAACAAACACTAGTAAGTGTGAGAAGGTTCGTGGACCAACATCACATCGCGTCCAAGCGGCAGCATCAGTGGCAGCTTCGAATCTGGCTTCAGAAGCGGCGGGGACTTCGCTGGCCCGAAGCAAGGCAGCGACGGGATGCAGAGGTACTTCCAGTCCTTCGCCAGCTATACAATGATCACCCCTTATCCATAGATGTCTTGCAAGGCAACTGTCAAGAACACACTCAAAGCTTAGTCGGGGAACATAGGTGTTCAAGCCGATGAGGCCGTCGGGGGTGCAGCTGACGCCGGAGCACGAGTCGCAGCCACCGAACCTGAAGGCCCCGAAACAGCCGCATGACCGAACCAAAAGCATGCGCGTGTGCTTCGTGCTGTCCTGCCGGCGAGACACGACTCCTTCGGTCCTTCCTCAACCTCCTTCACGTCCTTTTCGGCGGACATGGCTTCGCGGTGTGGCGAGACAAACTAAACCAACCAAGCTGGACAATGCCTGCGGCATGCTCAGTTCCAGCTCACCAAGGATGAGCTGATGAGCTGACCACCGCACTGCCGCCCAGCGCATCCCAAGCTCTCTTCAAGCGCATACACTGGACTACACTGAGGGTCTGCTGGCATCATCTATCTACCTTTGGTAGAGGGAAAACAGCAAGGGGGCTGATGCCTTACCTTTGAGGCAGGTCAGCTGTGAACAGGGCGAGCAGGCATCGCCCGCAGCTCAGGCAATCCTCCGTGGACAAACCCTCATCTGGACACCGTTCCATTCCACATCGAATGCTGAAGGAAAGCAGCCGGAGAATCGGCTTGAGCTGCTGAGTAAACGTAAACGCAGAGCTGACAACATCTGACAGCCCTATTCGTCGGGCTCCACCGGACAAATCAGAGTTACCAGGCAAGACATCTCTCAATCAGAGAAGCAGTGCCCAGTTTAACGACAAAAATGGGTAGATCACATGTTTGCTTCGCCACTCTCCTTCAAGTTCTCGCCAACCTCCTCTTCTTCCATCTCGAAGGGAAGCAGCAAGTGCAGGAACAGAGCCAGCAGCGTGCCGATACAGTAGGGCGTCTTCATGATGATGATGAGGGAGTCGCGCCACATCTTCTTGCTGTCATCGTACTGCACGCAGCAGTTCCCGTTCATTCCGATGCAGGTAGTCACGGTGCGAGTGGCCATGACAGGGGCCGTGTAAGTGCCACCCATGCCAGTGCAGTCGATCTGACCTCAGTGTCAAATCGATTCTCGCTCCCTGCCAACTCTGAATCAGAACAGCGAAAAATGCAGCAAATGTCCCAACGTCCTATCTACTCAGTTACTCGTGTAGTCAACGTCGACGTCGGGCTGCTGATGGAGCTGGCGGTGTAGGCCCCAACAGTGCACTGGGACGCTTGGGATTCGTACTCCTCGGTCGGGAAGACCTTGCACACGTCCTCAAGAGGTCAGCTGCTACACTACCGGACAGATAGAAGAAAGACGTCAGGGCCGTCCTTGGCCGGCCAGAGGCCGATGTTGTGCTTGAGGTTACCGCCGTGGAAGCCAGCAAGACCACCGCCTTCGGCCTGAGGCGTCCGGTCTACACAAGCTCTGCCGCGCATGCCCTCCTACTTCATAGCACCCTGCAGAGTGATCTTATAGTTCTGAAGCCAAGCCGCCCAGTTGGGCAGGGCCGCGACTCCAACGCCGACCTGCAGTGCGTTCAAAGGTGGACCTTTGAACGATCTCTGCAATTCTGCACTTCCTCCTCTGCGAAAGCTCGGACCGGTCTTGGCAGGGTCTGTAGGCCTGCACCTCTTGCGACAGGGACGGAAAGCCAACTGCAACCTGGACACGCCGAGGGAGACGGCGAGGATGAAGCGGGTGCGCCGACCCATCTGTCCGCTGCCGCCTGCTTCGGACGCGCTTCGTGCGTTAGTCTAGAGTCTATAGGGCAACCCCTCGAAGAGAAGGACGGCTGCAGCGGGTCTGGCGGCGGCCAAGTCACCCACGATGTTGATGCCCGAGACGAGCACGTTGGCAAACAGGAAGGTGGTCATGCCGCCCAGCACAGCATCCGGAATGGAGGCGATGGCGGCACCAAACTTCCTGGCTGGTTCTAGATTGTAGTCTATAGTGAATGCAGATGAGGATGATGAGGAAACACAGCACCAGCATAAGACGTGTTTGCATGCTCGCGAAGCACGGCATGAGCATGGAAGATCCTAGATGTGCGGAACTGCAACGCTGCAGCGCCGAGTCGCTCGAAGCAGCCCAGCAGGATGAGCCAGAAGCAGCAGGCGATGCCAGCGGCCCGGGAAGCGCAGCGCGTGATGGCGATCACGCCGTTGTTCTGGGAGAAGGTCGTGTTGGGTGGGCCTCCAGCAAGGGCAGAAAGTAAACATTCACATGAGTGCGCCCCCCTCCCTCCTGTACCATCCATTGTCCACTTCCCCTGCAACTTTGGCGTCCGAGAGGCAGGTCATCAGGCAGGCCAGGAAGCTGTTCACGCCGTCGGCAAGCAGGCCGCCCTGGATGCGGGAGTCGGCATCTGGGCCCTCGATGGGCAGGCCGCTGACATCGCACGAGGCCTCACGACGAGGTAAAACAGCATACCCGCTAGGCACGGTGGCGCAAGGCGTGGTGCAGATCAGGCGCCTGAATGTCACCGACCGTCTCCACCGCCGTGATCACGAAGCCCAGCAGCAGAGGGATGAAAGCTGGAGGGTAGAAGCCGATGTTGAAGGTGGTCGTCCTGCACGCGACGGCAAGGGGCTTATCATGGAACCTTGTTAACTTTATCCTCATTCTCTCGTCTGATGCCCGGCTGTACACATGAGGCAGTTCCCCGACATGTCTACAGTCGACCTTACGACTACATGGGTGTATGCAGTGCGGCTGCTGTGTCAAGGAGCAGCCGCGGAATGCGAAAGGGCAGTCCAGAGGAAGGTGAAGACGCCGGCTTGCTCGATCTTGTCGCCGTTGACATACGGCAGAGAGGTGCCATCCTCTGCGGTGTAGGAGGAGACACCCGCCACGAAGAAGCCGAAGAACAGCGCCAGGGCGACGGAGCAGTTCTTCATGAAGGGAGAACCCACCGCCTGGATGAAGACCTGGCCCATGCTGATGCAAGACTTCCCAACAACTCTGTCACGTCTGATAGGTACAGCGACCATGCATACATTCTGCTACACCCATATACGTGAGTCTTGCATCCACGTCGCCAAGAAGATCATCACGCTCAGACCCAGGCCGAAGTAGTGCACGTCTCCATAGGGCAACGCCACGTCGCCGTTGCCGGTGCACACCTTCAAACGAGAGACGGCACATGGCGGTGGCCTGCCCTGCTCTACAGTTTGTAGTACGCACAGCACCATAGGTTGAAAATCTATCATACGATTTGCCGGAATCTCCCTTCGGGGCCTGGGGTGCGCCGAAGGCCGCGGAACGGGACATGTCGTTCTCCGCGCAGAAGACCCCGCCGCCCCAGTACCTGCGGCACACAGCACGCGACGGCAGCAGCGCAGCTGCAGCCAATTTCTGAAAATTGCAGGGTCGGAAAATGCAGGCGAGGGGCTTAAGGCCAGCGACCGAGAGGCCGGCGCCGATGAGGCAGACGCAGGTGCCGCTGACCACAGGTGGGAAGATCTTCTTGAGGTAGCGGGGCGGCACGAAAGAGATGAAGAGCTCTGTCACGGAGGCCGCCAAGCAGGTTCCCAGGAATTTGCCGTAGGCATCCATGCCGCTGCGCCCAGCCTGGATTTCGGAAACCACGACCTCTCGTGCGATGGGCAGGAAGGTGAAGGACGTGCCGATCACGGAGATCAGGCCGGTTCCCAAAGTGTAGCCTCCGATCAGCTTCCAGCGAAGGATCTGCACCAAGGACAGCAGCCCCGAGCAGATCAACGCTGCGGAGATCATGTACCTAAGAGCGCCCGACACCACTTCGCACTCTAACTGTTACTCCAGTCAGTTTCAACCCTTTTGCTTTCCAAGCTGCTGCTTGGAGTCGCAGAGCTCCTAGCAGGTGGGGGCGATGTTGCGAGCGATGTGTTGGCAGAGGAGCTTGGAAAGACGAGCGGAAACTTTGGGGCATTTTGTTAGGGAGTCGAGTCTACACGCAAGCTCCTGGTCCAGCTGCCATGCAAAGCACGCATCGCCGGAGATCAACGACGGTGGGGTGATGATACCTTCCAAGGAATGGATATGCAGGACGTGCTGTGCTGTGCCAGACTTCCGATTCACCACTCAGTTGTCATGAATCTCTTTCAGCGCCTCCCAGCATGGCCAGGGCGTGCTGAAGCCCCATGATCAGGGACCTTGGAGACAGCCACATCTGCTTCATCCCTACCATCACCACCACAATCATCATCCACATCACGTACTTGTGCTTAACGGCGAGGACGGATAGGCTTTCAGATGGCCTGCTATCCCCCATCGCGTCCAAGCGGCAGCATCAAGGGCAGCTTCGAATCCGGCTTCAGAAGCGGCGGGGACTTCGCTGGCCCGAAGCAAGGCAGCGACGGGATGCAGAGGTACTTCCAGTCCTTCGCCAGCTATACTGTGATCACCCCTTATCCATAGATGTCTTGCAAGGCAACTGTCAAGAACACACTCAAAGCTTAGTCGGGGAACATAGGTGTTCAAGCCGATGAGGCCGTCGGGGGTGCAGCTGACGCCGGAGCACGAGTCGCAGCCACCGAACCTGAAGGCCCCGAAACAGCCGCATGACCGAACCAAAAGCATGCGCGTGTGCTTCGTGCTGTCCTGCCGGCGAGACACGACTCCTTCGGTCCTTCCTCAACCTCCTTCACGTCCTTTTCGGCGGACATGGCTTCGCGGTGTGGCGAGACAAACTAAACCAACCAAGCTGGACAATGCCTGCGGCATGCTCAGTTCCGGCTCACCCCAAGGATGAGCTGACCACCGCAGCGCCACTCAGCGCATTCCAAGCTCTCTTCAAGCGCGTACACTGGACTCACTGACCTTGTGCTGCCATCATCTGTCTACCTTTGGTAGAGGGAAAGCAGCAAGTGGGCTGATGCCCACCTTTCAGGTGGACATTGCGATCAAGAATCGCACGCAGCTCTGGCAAAGATCCTCCGTGGATGAAGTATTAATCTGGCCGCCATCCTAATCAACATCGAATGCTGAGGGAAGGCGGCTGGAGAATTGGCCTCCACGGTGAGCTGAGTAGACTTAAACGCAGAGCTGACAGCGTTATTTGTCGGGCTCCACCGGACAAATCTAGGTGCGACATCTCTCAATCAGAGAAGCATCACCCAGTTTAACGACAAAAATGGCTAGATCACATGTTTGCTTCGCCACTCTCCTTCAAGTTCTCGCCCACCTCCTCTTCTTCCATCTCGAAGGGAAGCAGCAAGTGCAGGAACAGAGCCAGCAGCGTGCCGATGCAGTAGGGCGTCTTCATGATGATGATGAGGGAGTCGCGCCACATCTTCTTGCTGTCATCGTACTGCACGCAGCAGTTTCCGTTCATTCCGATGCAGGTAGTCACGGTGCGAGTGGCCATGACAGGGGCCGTGTAAGTGCCACCCATGCCAGTGCAGTCGATCTGACCTCAGCGTCAATTCGATTCTCTCTCCCTGTCAACTCTGAATCAGAACAGCGAAAAATGCAGCAAATGTCCCAACGTCCTATCTACTTAGTTACTCGTGTAGTCAACGCCGACGTCGGGCTGCTGATGGAGCTGGCGGTGTAGGCCCCAACAGTGCACTGGGACGCCTGGGATTCGTACTCCTCGGTCGGGAAGACCTTGCACACGTCCTCACAGGTCAGCTGCTACACTACCGGACAGATAGAAGAAAGACGTCAGGGCCGTCCTTGGCCGGCCAGAGGCCGATGTTGTGCTTGAGGTTACCGCCGTGGAAGCCAGCAAGACCACCGCCTTCGGCCTGAGGCGTCCGGTCTACACAAGCTCTGCCGCGCATGCCCTCCTGCTTCATAGCACCCTGCAGAGTGATCTTATAGTTCTGAAGCCAAGCCGCCCAGTTGGGCAGGGCCGCGACTCCAACGCCGACCTGCAGTGCGTTCAAAGGTGGACCTTTGAACGATCTCTGCAATTCTGCACTTCCTCCTCTGGGAAAGCTCGGACCGGTCTTGGCAGGGTCTGTAGGCCTGCACCTCTTGCGCCAACTGCAACCTGGACACACCGAGGGAGACGGCGAGGATGAAGCGGGTGCGCCGACCCATCTGTCCGCTGCCACCTGCTTCGGCCGTTAGTCTAGAGTCTATAGGGCAACCCCTCGCAGAGAATGACGGCTGCAGCGGGTCTAGCGGCGGCCAAGTCACCCACGATGTTGATGCCCGAGACGAGCACGTTGGCAAACAGGAAGGTGGTCATGCCGCCCAGTACAGCATCCGGAATGGAGGCGATGGCGGCACCAAACTTCCTGGCTGGTTCTAGATTGTAGTCTATAGTGAATGCAGATGAGGATGATGAGGAAACACAGCACCAGCATAAGACGTGTTTGCATGCTCGCGAAGCACGGCATGAGCATGGAAGATCCTAGCTGTGCGGAACTGCAACGCTGCAGCGCCGAGTCGCTCGAAGCAGCCCAGCAGGATGAGCCAAAAGCAGCAGGCGATGCCGGCGGCCCGGGAAGCGCAGCGCGTGATGGCGATCACGCCGTTGTTCTGGGAGAAGGTCGTGTTGGGTGGGCCTCCAGCAAGGGCAGAAAGTAAACATTCACATGAGTGCGCCCCCCTCCCTCCTGTACCATCCATTGTCCACTTCCCCTGCAACTTTGGCGTCCGAGAGGCAGGTCATCAGGCAGGCCAGGAAGCTGTTTACGCCGTCGGCAAGCAGGCCGCCCTGGATGCGGGAGTCGGCATCTGGGCCCTCGATGGGCAGGCCGCTGACATCGCACGAGGCCTCACGACGAGGCAAAACAGCATACCCGCCGGGCACGGTGGCGCAAGGCGTGGTGCAGATCAGGCGCCTGAATGTCTCCGACCGTCTCCACCGCCGTGATCACGAAGCCCAGCAGCAGAGGGATGAAAGCTGGAGGGTAGAAGCCGATGTTGAAGGTGGTCGTCCTGCACGCGACGGCAAGGGGCTTATCATGGAACCTTGTTAACTTTATCCCCATTCTCTCGTCTGATGCCCGGCTGTGTAGACTACCGTCGACCTTACGTAGGGGTACGAAGCGCGGCTGCTGTGTCAAGGAACAGTCGCGGAATGCGAACGGGCTGTCCAGAGGAAGGTGAAGACGCCGGCTTGCTCGATCTTGTCGCCGTTGACATACGGCAGAGAGGTGCCATCCTCTGCGGTGTAGGAGGAGACACCCGCCACGAAGAAGCCGAAGAACAGCGCCAGGGCGACGGAGCAGTTCTTCATGAAGGGAGAACCCACCGCCTGGATGAAGACCTGGCCCATGCTGATGCAAGACTTCCCAACAACTCTGTCACGTCTGATAGGTACAGCGACCATGCATACATTCTGCTACACCCATATACGTGAGTCTTGCATCCACGTCGCCAAGAAGATCATCACGCTCAGACCCAGGCCGAAGTAGTGCACGTCTCCATAGGGCAACGCCACGTCGCCGTTGCCGGTGCACACCTTCAAACGAGAGACGGCACATGGCGGTGGCCTGCCCTGCTCTACAGTTTGTAGTACGCACAGCACCATACCCAAGCCCTCCGGTTCCGCATATTTGGGGCCATGGGCCATGTACCACATATTTGGGGCCATGGCCAAAAAACCCCTGGTTCCAGGAACCGGTTCCTAGCCCCCCCGGGCGTGGGTGATTTTGAGGGGTTAAATTTCTGAGAGTGCAAGAGACGCCCATGACGTCCTAATTTTGTCACCATGCGACGACGTTTCGACATGGGACAACGCTTAGCCTGCATCGCGTTAGGGGTAGAAGAGCCTGCCGGGCGATTGTTCTGATTTCTGGTGGGACGCCCCCACGTTTCGTGAAGCGGAAGACTACAGAGTCGAATTTATCTGTTTAGTTTAGACTCGATATTTGGGGACTTCAACGGTTTTGTGGTTCGTTTGGATCGAGGAAGGGGTCACCCGAGATCGTTGTTGATTTGATTTGCGTAACCTTCGGGTGCGAGGTGCGAGCCGTACCCGACAGGCCCATGGTAATGAACCTTGTTGAACGTGGTAATTATCTACAACATGTGTCCCAAGTTGGGACTGGTGCAGAAAGAATGTACCGATATGCACGTGCATGCATGCATTCAAGCATGCATGGTGGATGCATGCATGTATGTAATCATGTGTATGCATGTCTGCATCTCTGTCTGTCCTTCTGTCTGTCTGTCCGCCTGCCTGTTTGTCTCTGTCTCCGTCTCTGTCTCTCTGCATGGGCTTTTGGCTCCCGCATGGCGCGTCCGGCATGGTTGTACGTACGTATGTCTCTATGCATACATATGTATGTGTTTGTGTAGGTAAGCATGTATGTACATGCATGTGTAAATATGCACATGCACATGCGAGTGCATGTATCTGATAGCAAGTCCATGTATGCATAACTATGTACGTATATGTATGTGTGCATAAACAAACAAAACTTAGAGAAAAACAGCGAAAGTCCGTGACCCTGCTTGTGTCAGTCTATACGTTCTGTGTGGAAATCGGGCTCGGGTGGGGAGGGCTGTAGGTTAGCTGCTGGATGAGCCTTGGCCTGTTGAGTTTCGCTGTGCTGAAAAGTATGGGTGCATACAGAGCTTGCATCTATCTCAAGGCTGTACATGCACAGATTGACATACCTTGATACACAAAACATACTTGGAAAAGAAAGCCATCTGTGTTTTTAGCTTGTGACAACATCTACCCTAGCAGCAGTTTCGCATTATCTCGAACAGCATTGCGTATACCGGCCTGGATTTTGTCAAGAAAGTCGCGGCCGTGGTAACAGCACCAGTAGCCATCAACACTGTATGGATGTAAGACTTCTGAAGCCCTATTTTATACCAGGCTATTCCCTTGACCTTGACTTGACCCCCCACTCTAGACCCTAAACCGGCTTCTTGCCGCATACACGGCGCTTACTTCAGATGCTGCATTGTAACAGGCATCTTTGCATCACAGAAGACCTTCCACGTTCCTTGTGTTTGAAGTCATCGTTTTGGTAGGAGTACTAGTATTGGTACAAGCATTCAGAAATAGAAACAGTAGTGGGGGCAGGAGGAAGAAGTAGCAGTAGTAGTAGTAGTAGTAGTAGCAGTAGTAGTAGTAGTAGTAGTAGTAGTAGTGCTAGGAGTAGTGCTAGTAGCAGTAATAATAGTAGTAGTAGTAGTAGTAGTAGTAGTAGTAGGAGGAGTCGTACGAGTCGTAGGAGTAGTAGGAGTAGTAGGAGTAGGAGTAGGAGTAGGAGTAGGAGTAGGAGTAGGAGTAGGAGTAGGAGTAGGAGTAGGAGTAGGAGTAGGAGTAGTAGTAGTAGTAGTAGTAGTAGTAGTAGGAGTAGGAGTAGGAGTAGGAGTAGGAGTAGGAGTAGGAGTAGGAGTAGGAGTAGGAGTAGTAGTAGGAGGAGGAGGAGCAGTAGCAGTAGCAGTATGCAGTAGCAGTAAGCAGTAGCAATCACCAGCAGCAGCAGTAGTAGCGGCAGTGTTAGTGTGTTTCGTGGCAAGAGTGTAGGGTTACGAGTAGGGCCAGGGGTAGGGGCACGTTGGGGAAGTGTCCGAGTGCGGGTAGGGTAGTCGTAGGGGCAGAGAAGAAGAAGAAGCAGGAGAAGAAGTTGCAGAGGAAGCAGAAACAAGAGAAGAAGTATAGTAGTAGTCGTGTAGTGGTAAGTGGTAGCGGTAAGTAGAAATGCCAACAGCAGTAGCAGCAGCAGTCGCAGCAGCACTGGCAGTGGGAGTAGCAGTAGCTGAAGCAGTCGCAGTAGCAATAGTAGTAGCAGCACCCAAAATGGCAGCGATGGTAAGCAGTTGTTGTTGCTGATGTTCTTGTTGTGGTTGCTGTTGCAGTCGTAGTAGTTGCATTAGGACTAGGCAACAACAGAAGTAGGTAGGTAGGTGGGTGGGTGGTTGAGTGGTAGTAGTAGTAGTAGTAGTAGTAGTAGTAGTAGTAGTAGCAGTAGTAGTAGTAGTAGTAGTAGTCGTAGTAGTAACAGTAAGAGTAGGAGTAGGAGTAGCAGCAGGAGTAGAAGTAGGAGCAAGAGAGGGGGAAGGTAGTCGTAGTAGCAGTAGCAGTAGTAGTAGGAGGAGATAGGAGGAGTATAGTAGGAGGAGTAGTGGCAGTAGTAGTGCTACTACGACGACGACGACTACTACTACTACTCAGTCGTCGTTGTGGGAAAAGAAGAAGAAAGAATACCTGTAGAGGCAGTAGCAGTTGAATAAACTCAGCATTTGCAACCGCAGTGGCACGCCCCATTCAAGTCGCAAGCGCGACCCTTAGTCGCCATTGTTTCTTCATTCATGTCAAAAGCCTGAAATCCACGTCATGATCAGGTTAGATTGTAAACATGTCAGTTTTCAGGTTTGGTCGGAGCGAGATTCAAATGCATGCAGTGCAAGTACTGAGCGCTTCATTTCGAGAGGCAACCTGAAAAGACTAAAGCAGTGAATCTTCAAGCACGTTTTCCCCCGGCAGGCCCACAAAATCAAAGGCACGATCATCCAGTCCCCCGCACTTTCCTGACCCTGCCCTCGTGCCCTGGAGCCCGAACGCATAACTCTCGTGGGAGAAGCCGAAATTTCACGGTGAAATCCGCCTTGGAACCGTGAAATACGAGCCGGAACCGTGAAATACGAGCCGGAACCGTGAAATACGAGCCGGAACCGTGAAATACCGCAGTGGGGCCCTCAGGAGCAAAAATATCAGCCGGTGCAAACTCCCAACACGTAGGATTTCAGTAGAAGCCGAAGCTTTTGGATGCCACGATTGCCGAAGGGATGTAGAAACGGACCGGGAACATCATGCATGTTCAACTGTTTTAGGCTGCTAACCCCCCAAATGCTGATGCAACCCCACAGAACTTGCTTAATCGTCCCAGACGACCGCGACATCCAAAGAACCTCCGGCACGCCTGAGAATCATCCCCCCATAACACAAACTAAGTGGCAAATACGATGCGTGTTTTTCTCCAAACCACCGAAAATCGTTCCTTTCTTTCCGACTCCTGCGATGTTTACATGTTTGCTCAGTCATGTCGTGATCTTGGATTCTGCTCAATAATTGGGAGAGAATTTCAACCAGTTCCGTACTGGACAAATGCACAATACCTTGTAGGTTCATGGTGCAAACATGTTTTCGACACAAGTAATACATGGAGTGAGCACAAGAGCTGGTGTGCGTTGCAATAAACGCCGATGGTATCCTTCTTATTACACTCTGTTTTTTAAAAAATGCAGGGAAACTCGTCGCCGTCGTTGTCCTCCATGTTGTAGTAGCAGTACTAGTACTAGGACTGGTTTCAGTACTAACTAATGAGAATAGCAACAAAAGAAATAAGATATCTCTCTCTCCCTCTCTCTCTCTCTATATATATATATATACAATACACATGTAATTTCAACATATGCAGACATAATGCGACGACGACGACGTCAACTACGGCTATCACTGCTGCGACAATCACTGCAGCGACGATCCTACTGCTACTGCTACTTGCTACCGCTGCTGCTACCTCTACCCCTACTTATACTCCTACTCCTGCTCCTCCTCCTACTGGTTCTACTACTCCGCGCTCGATACGCCACTTCCTTTACGACTGCGGCTACGAGGACGAGTTTGCCTTCGCTCACTTCTGCTTGTGCGAGTGTGACTGCGACTATATGACGACGACTACCACCACGGCAAAGAAGCAACTACAGCTACTGCCACTGCTACTGCTGCTGCTGCTGCTGCCACTGCCTACTACTACCACTGCACTACCATTACCAGTACCACTACCGCTACCGCTAGTGCTGCCACGACCGCTACCGCTGCGGCTACTGCCGCGCCTACTGCTACTGCTGCTGCTACTGCTACTAGTACTAGTACTAGTTCTAGTACTAGTACTAGTACTAGTACTAGTACTACTACTACTACTACTACTACTACTACTACTACTACTACTACTACTACTACTACTACTCCTGCTGCTGCTGCTGCTGCTGCTGCTACTGCTACTCCTGCTGCTACTGCTGCTATTGTTGCTACTGCCACTGGTATGGCACTGTTGCTACCGTTGCTACTGCTGCTACTTTACTGCTACTGCTACCACTACCACGGGAACGACGAGGACTTCTACTAGTACTACACCTGCTAGTATTACTATACTCCTGCTACTACTACTACTACTACTACTACTACTTCTGCTACTGCTACTGCTACTGCTTCTGCTTCTGCTACTGCTACTTCTGCCGCTACTGCTACTGCTACTGCTACTGCTTCTGCTACTGCTACTTCTGCCGCTGCTGCTAGTGCTACTGCTACTGCTATTGTTATTACTACCACTACTACTACTACTACTACTACTACTACTACCACTACTACTACTACTACTACTACTACTACTACTACTACTACTACTACTACTACTACTACTTCTCCTACTACTACTACTACTACTACTACTACTACTACTACTACTGCTACGACTACAACAACTACTACTACTACTACTACTACTACTACTACTACTACTACGACTCCTGCTCCTGCTCCTGCTCCTGCTCCTACTGCTGCTGCTGCTGCTACTGCTTCTGCTACTGCTACTGCTACTGCTACTACTGCTGCTACAACTGCTACTGCTGCTACAACTGCTACTGCACCTACTGCAGCTACTTCAGCTACTGCTACTGCTACTGCTGCTACCGCTGCTGCTACTGCTGCTGTTGCTAGTACTGCTGCTGATGCTGCTACAGCTACGACTGCTACTATTCCTACTCCTACGTCTACTGCTACTACGATGACGACTACTACTCCTCCTGCTGCTGCTACTAGTGTACCACTACTGCTATTTCTATTATCATTAAACACTCATGGAAAATTTATCGTCATTCAGGCGGGTTGTTCAAAAAGATGCGAAACTGCAACGAATGGAAGCCTCTAAAATTCCCATACGAGCTTCAAACATTATTCGCAACCTTAGACCCGTCACCTGTCCAAGCTTGGTACAACGGAATAACTCATAAACGCTTGCAGTCAATATGATTTTCTACGCCCTACGCAGCTGGTGCAGTTTGGGCCTTCCTGTCTGGCGATGCTTCGGGTTATGTTTTATTCGACATTCTGGGGTTTTCTATTAAATCCAGTTGTCGTCCTACCGTACCAAAGCCGAAACCGTACTCCCAAAACCCTAGCCCTAACTACCCTGAAGCAGAACTGTTAATCTCTGCAAATCAAATACTGAAACTGCAGCAATTGTCGAAGCGCTCGACGCAACAGATGCTGAGACCGATTCAAGAAAACAGAATGTTTGCACGTGTGAAGCTCAAATCCTTACACCTGACACGTGCGAACCCTAAATCCGCAGACCCTAAGCACTTTAACCTTAAAAGCGTTGTGCCTCGATGGCTCTTGCCTGACCTAAAGAGCTCAAATCAATGTGTGAACGGATCATGAAGTGTGTCGCGGTGCGCTTTGCAATGTTCGCTCACCCGGCGTGCTCAAGTTTGAACCTTGCCGCGTCCGGTTCGTTCTTGTTTCAACGATTGCGCTAAGCCTGAGATATGTCATCTTGCTTTCTGCACAACTTCCTGCACAAGCTTGGTTCCTAGAATTTTTCGGTTCCCAGAAAACCTGGTCCATAGGGTCATGGCCTTGATTTTCCGGGCCATGGGTATCGGTTCCTGCCCTGGTGGGGTCTTAGGAGGGCTTGGGATAGGTTGAAAATCTATCATACGATTTGCCGGAATCTCCCTTCGGGGCCTGGGGTGCGCCGAAGGCCGCGGAACGGGACATGTCGTTCTCCGCGCAGAAGACCCCGCCGCCCCAGTACCTGCGGCACACAGCACGCGACGGCAGCAGCGCAGCTGCAGCCAATTTCTGAAAATTGCAGGGTCGGAAAATGCAGGCGAGGGGCTTAAGGCCAGCGACCGAGAGGCCGGCGCCGATGAGGCAGACGCAGGTGCCGCTGACCACAGGTGGGAAGATCTTCTTGAGGTAGCGGGGCGGCACGAAAGAGATGAAGAGCTCTGTCACGGAGGCCGCCAAGCAGGTTCCCAGGAATTTGCCGTAGGCATCCATGCCGCTGCGCCCAGCCTGGATTTCGGAAACCACGACCTCTCGTGCGATGGGCAGGAAGGTGAAGGACGTGCCGATCACGGAGATCAGGCCGGTTCCCAAAGTGTAGCCTCCGATCAGCTTCCAGCGAAGGATCTGCACCAAGGACAGCAGCCCCGAGCAGATCAACGCTGCGGAGATCATGTACCTGAGAGCGCCCGACACCACTTCGCACTCTAACTGTTACTCCAGTCAGTTTCAACCCTTTTGCTTTCCAAGCTGCTGCTTGGAGTCGCAGAGCTCCTAGCAGGTGGGGGCGATGTTGCGAGCGATGTGTTGGCAGAGGAGCTTGGAAAGACGAGCGGAAACTTTGGGGCATTTTGTTAGGGAGTCGAGTCTACACGCAAGCTCCTGGTCCAGCTGCCATGCAAAGCACGCATCGCCGGAGATCAACGACGGTGGGGTGATGATACCTTCCAAGGAATGGATATGCAGGACGTGCTGTGCTGTGCCAGACTTCCGATTCACCACTCAGTTGTCATGAATCTCTTTCAGCGCCTCCCAGCATGGCCAGGGCGTGCTGAAGCCCCATGATCAGGGACCTTGGAGACAGCCACATCTGCTTCATCCCTACCATCACCACCACAATCATCATCCACATCACGTACTTGTGCTTAACGGCGAGGACGGATAGGCTTTCAGATGGCCTGCTATCCCCCATCGCGTCCAAGCGGCAGCATCAAGGGCAGCTTCGAATCCGGCTTCAGAAGCGGCGGGGACTTCGCTGGCCCGAAGCAAGGCAGCGACGGGATGCAGAGGTACTTCCAGTCCTTCGCCAGCTATACAGTGATCACCCCTTATCCATAGATGTCTTGCAAGGCAACTGTCAAGAACACACTCAAAGCTTAGTCGGGGAACATAGGTGTTCAAGCCGATGAGGCCGTCGGGGGTGCAGCTGACGCCGGAGCACGAGTCGCAGCCACCGAACCTGAAGGCCCCGAAACAGCCGCATGACCGAACCAAAAGCATGCGCGTGTGCTTCGTGCTGTCCTGCCGGCGAGACACGACTCCTTCGGTCCTTCCTCAACCTCCTTCACGTCCTTTTCGGCGGACATGGCTTCGGCGCAGCTGGATCGAGGCGTGGCGAGACAAACTAAACCAGACAATGCCTGCGGCGTGAGCCATGCACCTTTCACCAGCCTGCATCACATCCTCAATTCACAACCCAGTCGGACCTTTCTCTGAGGTGGTGTTGTGAGGGTGGTGTTGGGGTTATTGTTGTTGGTGGCAGTGGTTGTGGTCATAATCAGAACTAATGACGACTGCGATGATGAGGATGACGAGGAGGAGGATTAGGAGTATGAGAATCAAGATGATAACGAGGATGTGGATGAAGGTCTGTCCTCGTCCCACTAGACGACGACAAGTACCATCGCTAGTCCAAGCACGGCTCCAGATGCTACCGCAGCCGCTCTAGATCGCTGGCACGCTATGCTTGCTTCACTATCAGTACAAGCTGTGTCGTCTACCAGAGAGAACCACGCATGACAGTGCGTGCCATCGAAGGCCTCAGGCTCTTGACCAGAGTAGCGCAGCAGCGAGAAACGCACGCGGTCCTGGCTCCGCTAGAGATGTTATGGAACACTGTCAAACCTTCAACCCCACAGCTGCTGCAATGCTGCAAACTGAACATGGAGGGCGCCTCACTTGATCCCTCTACCGAACCGGCAGCTTGCAGAAGCCTCGGGGAATTGTGTGAGAGGGAGAGAGAGAGAGCGACAGACAGACAGACAGACAGACAGACAGACAGACAGACAGACAAATGTACACTCATCTCTCCACCCTCTCTCCATCCTTCCCTCCCTCCCTCCCTCTCCCCCCTCCGCCTCCCTCCCTCCCTCCCTCCCTCCCTCCCTCCCTCGCTCGCTCTCTCTCTCTCTCTCTCTTTTTTTTCTTTCTGCCGGGCTTAGGGGTCACTATCGTCTCTCTCTCTCTCTCTCTCTCTCTGTCTGTCTCTTTTCTTTCTTTCTGCCGGGCTTAGGGGTCACCGTCGTGACCCTCAAGCTTTCAGCCCGCCCGTCCACCCCCTGGTTTTATTGTGTGGATGGCTTTGGGGTGCCACTGACCCTCTCTCTCTCTCTCTCTCTCTCTCTCTCTCTCTCTCTCACTCTCTCGCTCGCTCTCTGTCTTTCACGATATGTATGTATGTGTGCATATATGTATGCACGTATGCATTCTTCCCCGGTTTACAGTCAGCACCTGAAAATCATGTGGTACATTATGACTTTGAATACTAATATATGAACATTAACATACGTACACATAGTAGCCAATATTGGTATTATTGTTACGATTATCATATTAATACTACATTATTAGTATTAGTATTAGTCTCAATATTAGTACTACCATTATCATATTTCTAGAGATGTACATGTGAACTGGAGCGACATGACATGGCAGCGGCAACTGTTTGCAGACCGTTGTCCCGATCGTGTGTAGTTTTTCAACCTTCAAAGACAGCGGCGGTACAAACGAGCGCAATACTATAGGAACGTTACTGCAACAATCTATAGCAACATCACATAGATCAAAGGCCAGGAGAATGATGCCGGCGAACTATGTCCATGTGGTACACGAGCCACACTGTGGCCCAAGCAAGTCCAGGGACTTGGACACCTTTGCTTCGTCTGCTTCCTGTGATGGGAGTCGCAGATGTTGGTTCACAAACGTTCCGAAACTCTACATCTGAGCGACATCGCTCTTCGTACACTTGTAGGACAGCAATGCTTCTGAAGGAGCCCACTCTCCTTCAGTGCCAGCAGGTTGCTGTGCAGCTCCTCCAATGCAACAGGCGCAGGCCATTGGCCATTCGCCTTGCATTGTAAGCTCGAGTCACAACAAGCCGGGACATGACCCGCCACGCAATGTGTGTGTGTGTAGTGTGCAACGAGCAGCTGCAGCGCATGATTCCAGACAGTGCATCGCAGAAATATGTTTCCGCACTGTGATGCCCGAATACCGGGATATTTATCGGGGACCTCAATTAACCCATAGGCCCCAAAGTAGTTCCTTTTTGGGATTACCTTGTAGGATTCTATATATGAACCCCAAAACAAAACTACTTTGGGGCCTTAGGGAACACTCCTAGTCACCTACCTAGCAATCCGGTGTGGACCGTTCCCTCGCTCGCAGGCTGACAGGTCCAGGAAATTTCCATCGGAATCAGGGTTTAGGGTTCTCAGTGCCTCGGGCTTCGCATGAAGACCCGAACGGTTATCCAGATCGCTCCCATCCAACAGGTCCAGAATTCTGTCGACAAGGCTTACTGACCACTATAGGGGCCCGAATAAAGTGGAATAGGGTTTTGGGGTATATTATTATACTACAAGTGTAATGAATAAGGAACCCCCCCCAGCCCAGCAAAGGTAATTAGTAAGGCCCCCATATTCACTGACTGACTACCCAGGGGCCCCAAAATAGTTGCTTTTTGGGATTACCTTATAGGATTCTATATATGACTTTGGGGCCTTAGGGTACCAGCACCAAACCACCGGGCCTTCAACTTCAGCGAGAAAGTCTTTGTGCTCGCAGCGCGGCTTCTGAAGAAGGCCATATCCTTCAAACAAGACAGCCTTTTTTTGTTTAAGGGCCTTGTCAGCCTGGGATGTTGAACGCTGTGGCTACGCAGAAAACTTCTGCAAGGTGACAGAGCTGCCAATTAGAGCGTTTCAACGTGGGTTGTGCCACAATGTCTACGATATTGGTATGTAGTGAAAGATCAATAAGGGTTTAGGCCCAGGCTTGAACCCTGAATCCCCAGAGTTACTTTCAATCCCCAGAGTTATTTTCAACGACGAAACCGGCTCGACATCACTCCTGGCCCGTAACCCTTGACATGCAACAAATTGGTAGCAACGTCCTCGGACCATCTGCTCAGTGAACGCTGGGCGTGATCATTCCTTGCCAGCCCCACAGGGGCTTTGGGTGGAAGGCTGTGGGGTGAGGCTGTTCCGTTTGCTCATGGATCGACTAAACAACTCATCTCCAATGCAACGAATCCAAGAACTCGAAGCAATATCAGAGACTTCCCTCGACCCGATGCAAACATGCAAAGCTTGATTGAATCTCCGGGGAGAGAAGCTATGATAGGCGGGGGATGTTTGAGCTGCGACAAGTGAATATCTGCGGCCCAGCATCCCGACGCAAGATGGGTGGGAGGTGATGTCGAAAGGCAAATCTCCTGCGGCATAGTGTGTTCAGTTTGCCACGAAGCTCCTTCTGTCTGGACCCCGGATGGACGTCTTTAAAGTCGTCTTCGGACCCTCGTTTTGAAAACGCCGATCCGTGAGCTTTAGATTTAGAGGATGTTAGAGGAACTCCGTGCCTGAAGCTCACAATCTTCAGTCTATATAAAAAAAATATATATATAATAGAATATAATGTAAGAATAATAGTAATAATAATAATAAATATATATATATATATATATATATATTCTTAGTTGTTGGAGACAGAACATGCGAGCCACAATCTAAGCTTCGCGAGTACCACCGCAAACCGAGGGCCTGAACACTAGATCCCCATACCGATCTGACCATAATGCAAACCCAAAGAAACGGTTAGGTTTAGGGTTTAGGGTTTAGGGTTTAGGGTTTAGGGTTTAGGGTTTAGGGTTTAGGGTTTAGGGTTTAGGGTTTAGGGTTTAGGGTTTAGGGTTTAGGGTTTAGGGTTTAGGGTTTAGGGTTTAGGGTTTAGGGTTTAGGGTTTAGGGGGAACCCATCTGAACCCCCCAAAAACCGAAATCTTAACCCTAAGATCTGAACAGAAATGAAACGAGCGCCTGGTGGCAAAGACTCGCCGGACAAAGGTGCTTTCTTCTCGAGGATCCGGGAAGTCATCTGATTTGCTTTCTGCTTCATTGGCTTAGGAGTTGTAGAAAGGCTAGGTGACTCCAGCATTCGGGGATTTCAGTCTAGCAGGGTGTAGGATCGAGCTTAGAGCTCAGGGCTCCAGGTTTCAGAGCGCTCCTCGGAGCTTTTGGCTTGGACGGGGAGGGCAGGGTTGCTACCAGCGTCGGAGGTCTTGAAAAGGTGGGCCCTTCAGATTTCGGGCTGTGCCAGTCTCTTGCTCCAACACAACCCAGGAGTCCAAAAGCTGACGTTGCAACGGCACTCCCTTTGCAAGAACCATACGAACGATCTGAGCATATGGTCGCCTAGCCGGTAAACTGCGGCAGGTCTTACAGCACAGGCTCCTTTGTGAAAGTTGCACCTGACATCTGCCTTTTGTGGGATCCACTACCGACGCCCGAAAACTGGCAAGGGCACCGCCTCCGTCGGCAGAAGCTGACCCAGTAGTTCCGGAAGGTCCTCCAAAGAAGGGCTGTAAGTGGGTAGTGCATCAAACTCCGCGGCCAAACGTAGCCTATGACTCACCAAGTTTCCTGGCCTGTCCACAGCGCGGGGGGCGATGTGAACGAGGTCTCGCCGAAAGTATTCCGTTTCCGTACATGTAACTGAGACTCTGTTTGCAATGCCCGCGCAACACCCCTGAATGAATGTGTGATTGGTGCATGGAGTCGGCTCGGTGGTTGCAATCGTTAAGCCCACGAAGCCAAATGTGGATCCGACTCCGAGTCCTCGCTGTTCAATCGGATTTGTGCTGCCACCGTGGCCCAAACTCCGACCTGTCTTGGGAACCATGTGTATATCCATAATTAGTTACCTAGTTATCTAGTTATCCAGTTATCTAGCTGTCTAGTTATCTAGTTATATCATAATTATAGTTATTTTACAGTTGCACACATATACATATATATATATATATACATACATGTATGTATAAGCCGATAACCAATAAATCTATTTGCACAAACATACATACATACATACATACATATACATATATATATATAGTGTGTATGTATGTATATATATATATATATATTAACACATACAGTTATGTACATCCATGTGCATGCATGTAATCACGTATGTACGCACGTACACACGTATGTATGTATGTAGGTGGGCGGGTAAGTATTGGAGATGCATGCATACATATATGTGTAAGCACAAAATTCTACAGCGCTAAGAGGCCCCAGGAGCCTCAGTGGGTATCTCATCATGTCCCAGTCATTCCTTCTAGCGCACTTCGGAGGGTTGCCCAGTTCGCCTGAACCTGTTGAAACCGGAATCTCTAAGCAAAGCACAAGATCACCGGGCATCTGCTTTGGCTGCCCTGGACGCCTGCAACACGAAATCTTCACGACGGCAGGGTTAATTTGGGGTTTCGGCTCGTGGCAGGAACACGGAGCTCACAAGCATGATGTGCTGGACATTCAATTAAGTAGCCCGGTTAACATGGAAACTTCGGAAAGTGGTGAAGGGCACTGAAAGTATGAATGCAATAGCAAAGGATTAATGTTGTTGCTACGATGCCTCTGAGACCGCTGCATGCTAAACTCGGTTGGGGGCCGGGAAGGGATTACAATCCGGAAGCTGGAGCATTACCGACCCAACTTCGCACATGACTAACCAGCAGGCATGCTCCAAATATGCGAGTTTCCAAGCCCGAATCTGGACCTGGAATCTCCGCGTTATCAGCAGCTTATAGGCCGTGTATAGTGTTGGTACCACCGTTTTGAGGGACGATAGACGGCGTTTTAAAAGTTTCAGAGCCGGCATGGCCTGAGCTTCGGGGACATGATATGTATGGGGCAGATCCGTCTGGAGACGCAACAGGGGGGTGCGACGTGCTGGGCCGAAGTGACAAACTGCCACTCCTCCCTACGTGCTAACTGGCAGAATCGGTCCAGGCTCTTCTTCTCTCGGCTGGACCTGCTCGACTGGGTTGGCGCTCTGTCTGCGACCGAACGGGTTGGAGCATCAGAACCGTTTTCAACGACGCGCTCGAAAAACCCTTCTATCGGACTGGAAGTCGTCAGGGCTGGTGACGCGGGATTTTCAACAGCTTGCCCGCTTCTCGACCCGGCAAACTCGAGGACCGAGTTTGTCACTTGATGCACATGCGCACGACCAGGTAAAACCCGATTGGGGAGAGGCTCCGGTGAACTTCTGGGGTGGCGAGCTATGAGCAACAGGAGCATCACAGATCACGAGCAAATAAGAGCATCAGCAACCATTTTGACCAGGTCTACGGGCTTAGGGGTCCCAACTTAAAGCCGCACCTACCTACTAGAGAATGCACCAGGCGCGTTGGTTCACCGGGTGCCGCTTGCCCGGGGGCGGTGACCCGCTGCTAACGGGCCCGCCCTTTTACAAAATCCTAAACCAATTTCCTACAACCGCGGCTTTAAGTTAAGGGCACAACAGCCTTAATATATCTAGTTACAGCAGAGCTTCCTCCCCCCTGGCCACCGGCCTCAGGGGGAGGAAACCCCAGGCCCAGGGGTGAGCCACACGTGGCCCGACCCCCTTCCACGGACCCCCGCTTGCGAAAAACATATGTACTTATATGCGGGTCAAGGAAATCTGAGCTACGTACAGGGGAATTTTCTAGATTCTAGACTTATTTCAAAACATCGCGGTGCGAATAAGTGCCCCGCGGAAAGGGCCGAAAAGGGCCCCTTTTTTTTAGCATCAAGAGCATTGACAGTCCCTTGCACACTCACGCGAGGCCAACCGAGGGGGGGAGACACCGTGTCCGAGCTGGGGCAGATGGGCTGGTGCGACTGTAGCTTTCGCGCAAAAGCTCGGCACATGAGGTCACGTCCCTGCAGAGGAAGGAAAGCCGGCTTTAACCGAGGAAGCGAATTGGAACACGCCTGGCCGAAGTTCCGAGGGCTGAAATATGGAACATGCAAAACCCGGCCCTCATGTGCGGGCACACAAGAGTCCGGAAAAAGACCTAAAGTTGGAGCATCGGCAGTCCATCGAAAATCCTCGTGTACGAGAGTTCCAACTTTCTGGTATATCATATAGTTGTTGCAATGGTCATGGCGACTGTGCGGGGAGGGCTCTAGTGATCACCACCGATGGCCTCACCCCTTAAAGCGAATGCGTCTGAACGCGTTACAGTTCACCGCAGGATTATCCCCGAATCGTCGGCAACTCTGTTCGGGGACTGATATGCGCCTCGAACACGTGAAGTCGCTGGGCTGGGCTACACGACCCAATCGACCAAACATTCCGTGGCCTTGGCGCTGAGTACCAAGAATCGTGCTGCGTTCAGCATCATCACCACTGAAAGCAAGAGGACCGCATGTTTACGACTCGATCCCGAACACTGAATGGTTGCTCGTACTGTTCCTTCGTTTGAGTCCTGTCAACCGCAAGTGGCAGATGCTGGAAGCGCTAAGACATGATCACCACCATCACCATCATCATCATCACCATCAAAATCAGGCGACCATGCTGGACTGAACGCCAAGCCCTATAGCACAGTTGGTACGAGGAGAGAAGCTGAGGCCCATTCTCGCGTGGCCATCCATGGCAGGCAGTTCGTCGAGCTTGATGAGTCCAAGATTTGCCTTCTCCTCCCAAGGCTCTCGAACTTAGCGGACCGTAAGTTGCTTAGGGTTTAGGTTTAGTGAGGAGGATGGAATGGAGGACTGAGGGCAGCCCTATGAGGCCTGTCTCTGTTGCGCCACGACGTCCAAAGCCCCCCAGACGGCGAACCAAGTTTCACAGGTCTAGCTGTATAGCTTGCACACGGAGGACTGGCAAAACTGCCGAAATCAGATTTTCACTTTCCCTGTACTATACTAAATCTGGGACAAACCCTCAGAGCCCACGCAGCAAACCCATGTCGTACGATTAACCCCTTTTTGGGGGGGGCTTCAGGTAAGCGAAATCAACCTGTTTCGGGCTCTGAAGCTGGCCGCGACTAGACCCTAGCCCCCCGAACATTCCTATGCCCGACACTTTACCAGACCATTACAAAGGCAGAGCAGCTCTACCCGAAGTTGCACGAAGGCCCGGCCTCTGCTGCCTCTTCCTCAGGAAGCTCGAAAACCAGCTGGGTGGGGAAGCTGCTGATCTGTGACAGCCTGCCAGCAGTAGTAGTCGTAGTAGTCGTAGTCGTAGTAGTCGTAGTAGTAGTCGTAGTAGTAGTCGTAGTCGTAGTCGTAGTCGTAGTCGTAGTCGTAGTCGTAGTCGTAGTAGTAGTAGTAGTAGTAGTAGCAGCAGCAGCAGCAGCAGGAGTAGTAGTAGTAGTAGTAGTAGTAGTAGTAGTAGTAGTAGTAGTAGTAGTAGTAGTAGTAGTAGTAGTAGTAGTAGTGGTAGTGGTAGTGGTAGTGGTAGTGGTAGTGGTAGTGGTAGTGGTAGTGGTAGTGGTAGCAGTAGCAGTAGCAGTAGCAGTAGCAGTAGCAGTAGTAGTAGTAGTAGTAGTAGTAGTAGTAGTAGTAGCAGTAGTAGTAGTAGTAGTAGTAGTAGTAGTAGTAGTAGTAGTAGTAGTAGCAGTTGTTGGTGCTTGGGTGGGGCCTTGGGTGGTGGCGTGGGTGAGTTTACTGTTTGCGTTGGTGTTGCTATTGGTGACGGTGAAAGTAGCAGTGGCTGAGGTGTTCAAAGCAGCTGAAGATGGACTAGCGTGGGCTGCAGATGTATTGATGGCCTGCATCACCGGGCCTCAAAGAAAGTCAACATCGAAGTAGCTGTCAAGCTTTTTTGCGAATCATGGGCCTCTCCCGCACGGCCGTGGCTTCGTCCTTCGCACCTGAGAATCCACTGCTTCCCAGAAAGTCCGAATGATCGCCAACCACTGCTGCTGCGACATGCGTGAAACCTAACTATGTGAAGGAAAAGCCGAAAATCGACAAACACGCCTTCGCCGCCTTCGCCCTTGTCCTTTCCATCGACAGCTCTTGCCTTCACTGCCCGCTTTGCCTGCGATGGCAACGAGAGCTCTACTTCGATGATTCACCCTTGCGTCCGGAATG